CTTTTTGTTTGTCTTTGCACTATATGTTTCTATTGGAAAACAAATAGTCAACCTAGGATGCCATACATTCGGTTTGAGGGATTTTGGTATCCGTGAGAATTGAATTAAGAGCAGTGCTAGGGGCACTCGCCTCCTGCACTCTCCAGCCGGCACTTCCCCTTTCATTGGGCCACGTTATTTTAGTTTTTTTGAAAGAGGTTCACTTCGAAGCCTAAAACAACCTTACGTGGCCCAATGAAAGGGGAAGTGTTGGCCGGAGAGTGCAGGAGGCGAGTGCCCCTAGCGTTTCTCTTGAATTAATAGTTTAATACCCCACTGTGCTCCGTTGCCTATTCTCAAAAAACCAAAAATGCCACTGGGGTCACTGCAACGTACACGCCCATGACTAAGGATGGGTATGGTTGAGTTTTAGTTACAATTAAAATTATATTATTAGTTAATTAAATTTTTTATCATTTAATTTTTTTAAAAGGTAATCAAATTAAAAGATAAACAAATTTTGTTAGTTTTGGTTAATTTTTTGAGAACAACTATTTTATATAGGGTTCAATTTTAATTGAAAAATTAAATTTATATTTTCTAATTTCTTGTTTGTTATTGCATTAATTTTAATTATTAAACAACTTAAAATTACCGTGATAAATAAATAATTTAGTAAAAAATACCGAAAAAACCTTCAAATATCTAAGAATCATTAAAAAATTTATAAAAAAAATTTTAATTTAAACTTTTCAATTATACTCATTCTCATTTTCGTAATTAGTTTTTAGTTTTTAAATCTAACAATCAAACCTAAATCATTTAAAATTAGTTTGGTTTAGTTTATAATTTAAAAAAATCCAAAACATAGTCAAATCCTAATCATTAGTTATGGTTTTGATCGATTTTAAATTTTCTTTGGTTGCAGGCTTTTCCACCCACCCCTACCCTCCACTAGTCCACTTGTTTATCAGCGTGGCTTCAACTAATTTGCACATCAAGTTGAGTAATCCTTTCCCTGATTAAATTTTAACATGTACACTATTGCATTGCATCACCCTTGAAATGTTCTAATTCTCGTGTGATTTTAAATTGTAATTAACATTGTACTTTATAAGTTGTGCAGAATTATATCTCATTAAAATATTAATACAAAAATTTCATATTAACGTTCAGTTAATTGGTCTTTCAAATTCTACAACTATATAAGGGCTTTCATTTGCAGGATCTTTAAATTTGAATTTCAATTTCAATCTAAAGAAAGAAGGAAGCAGTACTTGCCATGGGAATTCTTGAAAGGTTTTGGTTGGTCATCCTTATTGCAGCACCGTTAGCAGCAATTGTGGCAGAACCAGCTCCTATTGCAAAACATGGTTGTCCAGATATGTGTGGTAATGTAAGTATCCCATATCCATTCGGTACAAGAGAAGGATGTTACTACAATGAAGATTTTCTCATAAGTTGCGATAACACTTTTAGTCCCCCATTAGCATTTTTAAGGAATGGTAATATCAATGTCACCAACATAACTCTTGAAGGGAGAGTGCACACAACGCAATTTATAGCCAAAAATTGCCATGATAAGTTCGGTAACCAAACTCAAAGCTACCAGGCTTGGTTCCGTTTATGGTTAAACGGTATTTATACTATTTCTGACACTGAGAACAAGTTTGTTGCTATTGGCTGTGATACGATCGCATCTGTACAAGGTTTCCAAGGAAAAAAAAGCTACACTACAGGTTGCATAAGCAAATGTGACAGTATTGACTATGTAGCCAATTACACATGTTCTGGAATTGGTTGTTGCCAGACATCCATTCCCACAAGAACGAGCTTCATCAAAGTAAGAGTGAATAGCACCGACAGACATAGAGGAGTTTGGAATTTCAGCCCTTGCAGCTATGGCTTCATCGTGGAAGAAAGCAAGTTCAACTTTTCTTCAAATGATCTTCTCGACTTGCAAAATGTTCTCGAAAAACCTATGGTGCTTGATTGGTCAATTCGGGATGACACCCATGCATGTAATAAAACTGAAAAAGCGAATGCATGCCAAAGAAACAGCGACTGTGTTCCTGTTGATGATGGATATCGATGCAAGTGCTCAAAAGGTTTTGAAGGAAATCCATACCTACCTGGTGGTTGCCGAGGTAACCCATTTATACTAACGCTGTATTTCATGAAATTCATAATAATAGTTGTTCTGATAGTTTTCATTCTTTTTGCAGACATAGATGAGTGTTTAGACTCTAGTCGCAATGATTGTAAAGATATGAAGTGCATCAATACAGAAGGAAGTTATAACTGTTCGTGCCTCAAAGGTTACCATCTTGTAGTAATAAAGGATGAACAAGGTTGTGTTGCAAATCAGCGGCATGACTGGATTCGAATTCTGCTCCCTGTAGGCAAGTACACATTTTATTCCACCTCCAAGTAGTCAAGTCCAACATACTTCTGCAGTTTTTTTTATTTCAACTTCAGATTTTTATTTTCTACCCTGATTTTTGTTTAAGTAATCAAAACAGCTCCTGAGCCTGTTCTAAATATCTGTTTTACTTCAACCAACAATTACTTAAAGTAGAATGTCCACCAAACACTTTAGTTTTGACTTCCTATAAGAAGGAACACTTTTTAAGAGTATGGTGTTTTGTAGTTCAAAGTGGATGGAGGGGCCGTCCTCTAATATCAAAGGGCCTTTCATAATCCAATGGCTAGTATTTTGTAGTCTGAACTGCAAAATATGTTTTTTTTTTTCTTTTAACTTCCATGTAAGTCAAAACATTTCTCATGCATGTTCAAAAAAAAAAAAAAAAAAACATGTAAGTCAAAACATGTTCTGTTAGCTCTCATAATCACTCTTATTTCTTTAACTTACAAAGGGATTGGAGGCCTTGCAATATTATTCCTAGTAGTTGGCACTTGGCTGTTCTGGGGATATAATAAATGGAAGCTCATCAAACTCAAACAGAAGTTCTTCATGCAAAATGGAGGTTTGATGTTGCAACAACAACTATCCAACCATGAAGGATCTGCAGAAACAGCTAAAATTTTTACAGCTGAAGAACTCGAGGAGGCCACAAACAACTTTGATGATAGCGGAATTATAGGTCAAGGAGGTTATGGGACAGTGTACAAAGGAACTCTTAGAGATGGGAGAATTGTTGCAATCAAGAAGTCCCGTGTTATTGATCCAAGTCAAAATGAGCAATTCATAAATGAAGTGGTTGTTCTTTCACAAATCAACCACAGAAATGTGGTGAAGCTGTTAGGTTGTTGCTTAGAGACAGAAGTTCCATTGCTAGTTTACGAATTCATTACCAATGGCACTCTTCACCATCACATCCACAATAAAAGTAAGGCTTCATCATTGACTTGGGAAATCCGCTTAAGGATAGCAACAGAGACTGCAGGAGTGCTATCATATTTGCACTCTGCAGCCTCTACACCCATCATTCATAGAGATATAAAGTCTACAAACATACTCTTAGATGATAGCTACACAGCAAAAGTATCCGATTTTGGTACTTCAAGGTTGGTTCCACGAGACCAAGCTGGAATATCTACAGTTGTTCAAGGAACTATTGGATACTTGGACCCTGAATACTTGCGTTCAAGCCAATTAACAGACAAAAGTGATGTTTATAGCTTTGGAGTTGTCCTTCTTGAGCTTTTGACTGGAGAAAAGGTATTTTCCTTTGCCAGGACAGAGGAAGAGAGAAATCTTTCCATGTATTTTCTTTCTGCGATGAAAGATAATTGCTTGGGAAAAATTCTTGACGGTTGCATAGTGAATGAAGCAAACATTGAGCAGCTTAATGAGGTAGCTAACCTGGCAAGGAGATGCTTGAGTGTAAAAGGGGAGGAAAGGCCTACAATGAAGGAAGTGGCTATGGAATTAGAGGGACTGAGAAGGATGACAAAGGATCCACGAGCTAACGATGCATGCGATGCAAAAGAGGTAGAGTACTCACTTGGTGAAACATCTGATAAATCTGGTCATGACTTTGATGTTAGTGGTAGCACGAGCGTCGTCTCCAATACCTTTCCAGATCAAGTAGGATTTGCAGTTCACAGTGGGAGATAAACACAAGTTTCTTGGTGACTGGTTTATACCCATTTATTGTACTACCAATCATAAAACCCATAAAAAACAATGGGGGAATGGAAGAGACCACATTCTTGTAGATAGGATTCTCTTCCTAATTTTCAATATATTGTCCTTGGTATGTCCCGTGTGATAAAAGAGTGAATTGTACTTAGATACTTAATAATTAATATTTTAATTTTGTTAATTGTATTGGAGCCATGTAATGTAATTTGTCTTTTTGTATTTCAGTAGACAGTGGTCAAAACAACAGGTTTATACAATATAAGAAGCAAGCTCCATATATCAGTAAATGATATCAAATGAAGATGTATGGTTATGTGTTCTATGTTTTCCCTCAATTTCTCCTCTGTTTTTCTTCTTCTAGTGAGCTCTCTGTGCTTATCTTCTTTTGATCTCCATCACCGTGAATGCTATGTAAAAATAAATAACATCATCGATCTACTTTAGATTGATGCTTTCATCGTAACAGGCAGATGTGGTATAAAAAATGTAAAAAATATACAACCCCAGTGACTTGATTCAATATTCCGAGGAAGTAACAATTACAAGAAGTATCTGATTGCAAGAATTTACTTGGAAAATAACCCTAGTAGGTTATTTATCAAGCTGCATTAATCAATACAAGCTAAGCTTCTAGAGCAACATTCAGAAGAAGGTGATTAGTTCTTAAATCTTGACTTTTAATCCTACAAATACATCATTGTCAGCAATCAAGTGCTACTCTTCTTTACAATGGATTGCATCCAAGCATCAATATGTTCAACTCTACAATTGCATATAATCCTGTACCCATGAGCACATCAGACTGATCAAGTATTTTGGATCACATTGAAGACTAGTTTGCAAAACTGTGTGCCTTCTTCCAATTGGCGCAGCCCCAAGACTTGTATGCTATAGTTAGAGACAAGTTGAAAAAATGCTCCTATACTTAATTCCAGCTAGACCTTTCCATCTGATGAAGGAAGGCTTGTATCTGTTTTAACCGCAGTTGAAGATGATGTTGTTAAAGAATTGGTGCCTTTAGAAGGGGAAGAGGAAGGAGTTGGGAGCTTCTTAGGCAGCATCTGTTCCCAGTTAGGCAATCTTGATGCTTCTGAGACAACAATGAGAACAAGAAGAGTCAGGAGCAAGCACTTGTTCCTCCAAGAACCTGACATGTTGAATACCAATAGTCAGGAGATACCTGGAGAACTCATCTCTATAACTTTCATAGATAGCTTTAGAACGTTAGTGGCAGCAGACATGTTGAGTAATCTGAGGAGACTGCCAACTTGTTTTGTTTGAGGAAAGGTGTGACAATGGCAGACAATGGAGTATTTGAAAATTCTAAACTGAGTGTGGAACTTAGGAAT